CACAATTCTATCATAAGAAAGGCCAGAGACAGCCAAGATTGAGCCAGAAACACTAAACACAAAGACCATCACAGCCTAGACTCTGGATGAGAAACCAGTAGGCAGAGAGGTGATGATGGCTGTCTTGCTGCAGGGGCAGATCTGGAAGGAAAGCCTTCTGATCTCCAGGTTCATGAAAATGTTAGGATCCAGTGAGTGGGGTGAACCAAGTGAAATAGGTTAAGCACCAGTAGTAAAACCACGGATTCTTAATCACGTGTTTTAAGGCTCAGGAGGAAGAATGATGGGGAAAAGCAGCTTCCTGGCATGCTGTTCAGTTCAGCTTGCTCAAGTTGGCACCGAGTCAGTATTTCTGAGGGGTCATATCTTCAACAACCCAGAGTAAGGTGGTGGGTTAAAGTGGGCGCTTAACCCAGGAATATGATTAGGAACCTGGCCAGAGAAGCTTGTAGGCTTGGATTCTAAGATTCATCACCCTGGGTAAACCACCTCCTCTGTCTTCATTTCTCTGAAAATCATCTGTGCTGCTAGTTGCATTGTGAAGCCTAAGTGAGCAACACCCAGTAGTTAGCAGGTTCTAAATAAAGGGTAATGTGCTCTTCTAAAGAATGCAGCAATATTTTTTACTTGCGATGACATATTCTATGTACCTACAAGTGTGTTGGGTGGGGGCACCTAGGTCATTTCTGTGTCTGGACTGTTATAAACGGTGCTGCTATAGACAGAGGCGTGCAGGTTTCCTTTCAAATGAGTGCTTTGTGTTTGTTGACTAGGTGTGGAATTGTAGGTCCTGTGGCAGATCCATTTTTTGTGATTTGAGGATCTTTCACACTGTTTCTATAGGGGCTGCTTCTTACATCCCCACCATTTAAGACCAGGCACTTCCTCACTGGCCTGTGATGGGCTCTTCACTGTAGCTGACAGCATGCTCATGTCAGTCAGGTATAGGCTGGACAAGCTTATGACTGTGCCTCCCATCCGCCACGTGGGGTACGTCCTCTGGGGCATACCTTCAGTACCACACAGGTGGTGGTGAAGGCATTTCAGTGCTTCAGAAGTTCAGAAGGGAACATTTACCCAGAGGAAATCACACACAGGTGAGGGGTCCTCACCTGCGAGAGTTGGGAATGATGTGAGGCATCCCATTCAAACCAACACCTCCTTCTTACAAGGAGTCATTCTATCAGGGAACACAAGAGCTCAGAAGTCGTAGTGTGTGACCATGCCATTAGAACCCCTCCTTTGATAGAGAGGGAGATGAGGTCAGGCAGCATTCTGGGTGGTGTGGCTTGCCCTAGACAAGGTCACCCAGCAAGCGGGTCTCAGGTTTCTGGTTCTAGGCTGGTGAAATAGCAGTATCTCCCTTCCAGTGTCCTGATGGATGACTAAGACTACTGTTGATTAAGTTATTTTCGTATAGAAATAAATTGCCATCATCACTACCCACCCGCACCCCTACTAAAGTGATTTCCTCTGGCCACTAACACTCTAGGTACATATTCCCTCCTGAAGTTCTGAAGCCACTGCTTCAAGGTTCTCATTTCCCTTAATGTGTTTCCTCTTGGCTGCACTGAAAGCTTTCTCTTGCCCTTCCTCTCTGCCTCCTAGGGCTAAGCCACCTCTTTAGTCCTCTGCTCTGTGTCAGAGTCTGGCTTTTCTCACTGTTTCCCTCTTCTCTCTCAACTGCAAACAGGGGTGGCCTGAGCCCAGGTCCCCAGCCCCAGGAAGGTTCTGAACTGAGGGCACCCTACAGATGTGTAAACATTTTACCTTGCTCACCCTGCTAGTTGCCTTCCAAAGGCAACAGGAAAACCAGGGGCTAAGAGAGCCACTAACAAAATAAAAACCTGCAGAGAGGGGCAAAAGGTACAAGGGGAAAAGATACCATTTCAGATGTTAATTTTCTCATTAGAAGATTTTTCTGTTTAAGGAGGAGGAGTTTGGCCCAGGAGAGGAGGAGAAGGTGGGCTGAGAGGTGGGTTGCAGGGGCACCAGGTTGGGGACCCTGGAATCCTCTGTTCTCAGTGATTCCCATTGCCAGTGGCAACAGAAAGCTGTGAGGCAGTTCCTTCCAAATTGGGAGCCAGAGGTCTTGCTTTGGAGGGGGTCCATGGTGAAGTAGCTTCTGACAGTCTCCTAACAACTGCTAAACCAGCAGGGATCTATGATTTCTAAGGAAGGTTTGCCAACACCTTTCAGGACTTGAGCTTTTTTGAGCCTTCTACTTTGTCAACTCTGTACACCAGGTGAGATGCCTTCAGGGTACTTTCTCTCTGAGGTCTTTGGTTTCCAGTTACTTCCTGTTTTCATCCTTGACATCACTCCAGCATCTTAAAAATGAACCCCCATTTGGATGGTGCTGTAGGCCAATGATAGTATGTACACCCACTGTCTTTTAGATATGGTGGCATACTTACAGGATACAGATGAGGAGGGTCCACAGAGATGGAGTGATTTTGCCCCAGATGTGTGGCTTGTGGTGGCTGTCACTACAAATCAAAGCAGAGTACCCTGACAGGACCCCCAAAAGCCTAGTCTTTCTTTCTTATCAAGAACACAGTCTGTCTTCTGAGTCTCCCAGTTCTTTACCATCGGAGCTATAAATCAGTGTGCTTGGTTCTGTCACAGTCTCTCTATTCTCCCCCCCACACTATTTAGAACATTTCATGAGACGCTGACTGAGTGCCTTATACATGGTCTGATGCAGGGTATTGGGTCAGGTTCAGACAGCCAGGCGAGTCTCACCCTCGAGACGCATACTTTGTAAGGAGGGCTCCAAAACCAAGAGCAGTGTCTAGTTTTCTAAAAGTAAAATATGCCCCCGAGGAACACGACCCTCCTTCCCAGGGTATCAAGGAAAGCTTCATGGAAGAGGTGGCTTCTATGTTAGCCATTAAGACACATGGGATCATAGAAAAGCAGTCTTGGACTGACCATGTTCTGGACACATTCATTTGTTCCCTTTGTTTCAAGATGGAGACCCACACTCCAGAGGAGCTTTGGTGTTTGGCTAAGGCTGCCTGGTCTTAGAAAGCAGGTTGACTTTGTGAGCAGATTCTGGCTTTTACTTGAAGAACTGCTGGGGGTGAAGTAGGGGAGTAGTATAGGCGGACTTAGATGTTCAGCCAAAACTGCCAGGCACATTGGTTGCTAACAGAGATGCACACAAATTTTAAGGCCCCCAGCATCCATAAAGGAGAAAAAACTGTGTGGGCCTCCTCTATTGATTTTTGCTCAAAGCTCCCCATGCTCATTTTGATGAACACTGATGGCAGATGCACAAAGTTATGGTGACCGCAACAATTCTCCAGCTGAAAGTAGGGGCTAGCTGTCCTTCTAAATGAGCATCTTTTATCCATTCTCCTATCCTTCTCTTTCTCCTCCCACCTGGCCTCATACATCATCAGACACCGAAATTACACTCTTAATTGGAAAGTCCTCTTCCCCATCCAATGCCTTTGTCTGTGCCAAGGACACTGGGCATATTCCAGAAAGGCTGGGAAATGGGGGTTGGTTAGATAATTAGATCCAGAGAGAATCTGTTAAGCGACTTACTGGGGTTCCCAGAGTCTGGCTTGGAACTTTCCCAGACACCCAACAAAAGCTCAGCAGCACCCCCACGCCCAGGCCCATGGTGTCATCACTGCCTCTGGTAGTAGAGTTAGTGTGCAGGACAGTGGACCCCGGAGGCTGATGGCTATGGAGTCCTTGTAGCAACCACCTGACCTTCATTCAACCCATCTCTTTACTGCCTTGCAGTTCCATTTCCTCTTCTGTTAAATGAGAAACTTGATACTACCAGTTTGGGGGTGTAACATGGGTTATATGCACTAATACCTTAACTGACCTTCATACCACACCTGACCTGCACAGACTTTTGGTCGATTTTACTTGCTATTTACTACCATGTAGGAGTCCCCAAATCTTTTTATGTTGAGAATATTCACTTTTCTAAAAAGTGCCATTAGTGTTACAAAAAAAAGGAACTGAGTTGGGTCTCAAGAAATTTGTCAATGACTCTGTGTAACCTGGCAAATGCCTGTTGCTTGGGCCTCACTGTTAGGAGGTATTGACCTATGAAAATGTCCCCAGCTCAGATAATAAGGGGTCTGCCTTTCGGGGGGTGGGCATAAGTGTCAGGGTCAGCCAGGCCTCCTGTAAGAGACAGAAGCACTGGCTTTACAGCCCTCAGTCCCTGCCTCCTTCCTCAACACTCACACTCCTGGTCACTTGGTGACTGCTTATGACTGATGCGCTGTCCAAGTTACAGTGACTCTAATGAGGACATTCCCTCCAAACCAGCATTTTATATTCATTATCATCTCCTTTGTTTTCCCTTTCACTCTTACGTTGGCCTACATGTAAGATATTCTCTTGATTAGAAGTTCCTGCCTCTGCCCCCCCCCAACCCACACACACACACACACACACACAAAACCCTGCCAAGAGTTTTGCAGAAATAAAAGGTCTGTAGATTGTAATTGTTGTTTTGGCCATGTCTTAGTTCTCTTTTTTCACTCTACGTTGGCCTACATGTAAGATATTCTCTTGATTAGAAGTTCCTGCCTCTGCCCCCCCCCCAACCCACACACACACACACACACACACAACCCTGCCAAGAGTTTTGCAGAAATAAAAGGTCTGTAGATTGTAATTGTTGTTTTGGCCATGTCTTAGTTCTCTTTGGCTCAAGTATTCACTCTGCAAGCAAAAATCAGTTTGTGTGCTCCTATTCAAAACCAGTAAAGGTCTAATGCTAGGGTGACAGTGTTGGTGAGAGTCCACTCACCCCAACTCAGTGCCCCCCTCAGTGCCACCAGCCCTTGCTTGCCCTTGGCCCATGGGGTGGTCCCAGAGGCACCACTAGGAGCTGCCAGCGCCCTGACAAGCACAGTGTGAAAGCCAGTGGTCTAGCACTTCCTGGTGGAAATTTTATCAGAGAGAAATAACCCCCGCTTCCATCCTTTATTTATTCCTCTTTCTCTTTTGGGGCCACATAGGGCTGTATGACAAATGTTCTTATACCTCGCGTGACCGAGGATGGGTCGTGGGCATTCACACCGTCAGTGACCAAGGCAACAGAGACCCACGCTACTTTTTCTCCTTGAAGACAGACCGGGCTCGGCAGGTGACCACCATCAATGCCCACCGCAGCTACCTCCCAGGCCAGTGGGTCCACCTTGCTGCCACCTACGATGGGCGGCTGATGAAACTCTACGTGAACGGAGCCCAGGTGGCAACCTCTGGAGATCAGGTGGGCGGCCTGTTCAGCCCACTGACCCAGAAATGTAAAGTGCTCATGTTGGGGGGCAGCGCACTGAACCACAACTACCGGGGCTACATCGAGCGCTTCAGTCTGTGGAAGGTGGCCAGGACGCAGCGGGAGGTCCTGCTGGACATGGCTGCCCACGGCCTCCAACCGCCTCTACCTCAGCTCCTCCTCCAGGAGAACTGGGACAACCTGAAGCATGCCTGGTCTCCTATGAAGGACGGCAACATCCCCCAGGTGGACCTCAGCGCTGCCCACAGCTTCCTGCTGGACACCAACCTGGAGCCCCCGTTGTGCGGGCAGACGCTGTGCGACAACCCCGAGGTCATCGCCAGCTACAACCAGCTGCCACGCTTCCGCCAGCCTAAGGTGGTGCGCTACCGGGTGGTCAACCTGCACGAGGACGGCCGCGAGCAGCCCACCGTCAGCCGCCAGCAGATTGACTTCCAGCACCAGCAGCTGGCCGAGGCCTTCAAGCACTACAACATCTCCTGGGAGCTGGAGGTGCTGGAGGTGAGCAACTCCTCGCTGCGCCACCGCCTCATCCTGGCAAACTGCGACATAAGCAAGATCGGGGACGAGAACTGTGACCCCGAGTGCAACCACACGCTGACTGGCCACGACGGCGGCGATTGCCGCCACCTGCGCCACCCCGCCTTCACCAAGAAGCAGCAGAATGGGCTGTGTGACATGGACTGCAACTACGAGCGCTTCAACTTCGACGGCGGGGAGTGCTGTGACCCTGCCATCACCGATGTCACCAAGACCTGCTTCGACCCTGACTCGCCACACAGGTAAGGCCTCATGGGCAGGTGATGCTGGTGGAGAGAGCTGTGTGCGTCCCCCCTGCTCCCCCCCCACACACACACCTTCTGTAGGCCACGCCTCTGAGGCCCTTGGAAGTAACGGGAATGTTGGAGGTCGCACAGCAGCCTGGCAACCTAGACGCAGGTCCTCACCGGCTACAGGAGCAAGTAGAATCGTTACAGAAATAGGTGGTGGGTGCTGTGTGTGAGCTACAAAACCTTGACTTCTCGGAGCTCAGTCTAAATTGGGGGACCTGCGCTGAAAGCAAATATCTGCTGCCCCAGAGTTGTAGAGCAGGTTTGAGCCAGACCCTGGGGTACGGGTCCCTCACCATCACGGTGACGTTAACTTTGTATTAGTTAAGCAAAATGTAAAATCCAGTTCCTGAGTGACGCTAGCCACAGCTCAAGGACTAAGTGGCCACGTGGGGCTGTCCGCCCATCCTGGTCAGAGCAGGTGGGAGCTCTTCTGATCTTTGGGGGCTCTCTTCTGGGGACTGGGCAGTAAGCTGGGGCCAGTGGGGGCCACACATCTTGGTTCAGACCTGAGCTCTGCTAGTTCCATTTTTTAGAAGCTGCTTCTTGACTGTAAGATGAAATCACAGTGGCTCCTACTTTGTTGCGCGGCTCTGGGCATTAACTGAGGGAGGGTCAGGAAAGGACATTTTCTTGAAGTAACTAGCCTGGTATTGCCTCTCCTGGACTCGTGATTCCCCTAACACTGTGAGGGTGCTGTGGGGGTGGGGGCGGGGGGACATCTTGTCTCGAGAGGTGGACTTGTGGCCTGAACAGCTCAGAAAGTCTCAAGTGTGGTTTGGACATTGGGATTGAGTTGGAGAGGATGGAGGGCACGCCAGACAGAGAGAGGTACTTTGTAGGGAGGGTAGGAAAGGGGACTTTCTGTGTACTGCTTCCCACAGCTCTCCAGTCCGACTAGCCACCCCAAAGGGACACCAAAGGTGAATCCGAGGGCGATCTCTCTTAGATGTGAGCCCCAGAGCGGCAAGTTCCAAGCCAGAGTAGCAGTCAGCATCCACTTTCCTGTTTTTCCCCGATTCGTGCTGAACTTTTCCATTCTGTCCAGCACACAGGACCCTGGACTTGCTGATGGCTCCAGCACATGTGCTGACCTCTGCAGCTTTCCTGCTGACTCTTCTCTTTATGTCTCTCTCAAAAGAGCAAGGGCCTCTCATGCACAGACAAAATACCTACATGCAAAGGAATGACGATGCTGACAGGAGAATGTCGTACCTGGCAGCCAGCCAGAAAGCACGTCAGCTCTCCTGGCACCAGGCGTGCCCCTGGACTCTCACCTTGGCTCAGAGGCGTGAGCAGCCCATGTGTGAAGAAGCCTTAGCGTGTGGCCAGTTCCTCCCAGGTCACGGTGCACTTTCATCTCTGCTCTCATGTGGGCTTTGACGGAACTTGGCAGGGAAGAAAGACAGGGGTTAGCATTTGCATTTGACTGATAGGGAAATAGAGCAGCCTAAGCATGAAGTGATTTGGTCAAGGTCACAGATCAGGAAATGCATGCACTCAGCTAAGCCACAAATGCAAGTCTTCTGAGATTCATCTGGGGTGGACTGTACTGAGCTAGACTTCCAGGAAGCCTCTGGGCCCAAACAGGGTGGGTGTGAGGAAGGGCAAAGGGCACATGTCACTGGAAGTCATTCAGCCATGTGTATAGCCATTCATTTATTCACTCATTCCATCATTCATGCAACATGTGTTTGCAGCACTATTTGCTGAAAGAAATTCAGGACCCAAAAAGATGAAGGGATTTATCCAAGGTCACTCAGCTATTCAGTGGAGAACTTCAGTTCTGACCCAGGTCATACCCCAGGTCCCCACCGAAGGGGGGTGTTTTTACGTCTGAGGGCCAAGAGTTAAAGTTAAAAGGGAGGGCTCACGGGCATGGCAGCTTTCCTGGAGCCTCGAGAGATTGCTGCTGTGTGTTTTGGGTCAGCACGAGGACAGAGTTGTTGATGTGACGGGGCACTGGGGCCCCAGGCCCCAGATACCTCTCAGTCCACATCCGGAATTGCAGCTCCAGTGGACCCCTCTGTCCACAGTGACAGGACTGCACACCCAGAATGTCTGTGGGTGACCGTGAGCACTCCCTCCCGGGCCTGTTCGCTCACAGGGAAAGCCATGTACCCTGGGCAGCCTGTCATCTCCTGACAGGGCGGGGGTTGCAGGTTTCAGCTGAACCAGCTCTCTTGTGTGCAGGGAGAAACCTGTGGAAGTTTGTGAGGCTGATGCTTGCATTGTGACTTAAAAAAAGGAAGGGAGGGCAAGAGGGAAAAAGAAAGGAGAGAAGGATAGAATGGAGGGGAGAGGTAGGAACCTGAAGTGGAAGGAGTAAAAATGTGTTTGACATCATCTAGGTGATTCTAAAGAAGCAGCTGGATTTCTTGCCCACCCAGGGTGCACCAACACTTGTCTGCCTCCCCCGGCATGGATATTTTAATGACTTCCTGGTTTATAGTGGGGGAGGACCTTGGTTTGGTTTTATCCTATGTGTGCAAAACCAAAACTTTGGTAATATACAACAAAATTGAAATAAAATGAAAAACCCTCAAGAATGGTGCGGCTGTATCTGAATTCTCTAGATGTATCTAAAGACATACTCTCCACAGTGCTTATGCCACCTACTTGGAGTAGCTCTGATTAAAATCAGTCATTCTGACGATTGCTGAGCAGTTCTCTCAAGTAGATGAAGATCCACCTGCAGTAACGCAGCTGGGAAGACCAGTGAGGGCCATCAGAGAAGTACCATTTCCTTCCACACATTATCCTCAGTCTTCCTCTAATAGTCCTCAGACCCCTAGCCCGTGTTCTCAGGAATTCATGAGTTATGGGAGAAGACATCAGAACAGTGTCAACTGTCAGTGTCAATTTCCTTGGCTCTCACTGGGTCCAAAACCCTCACCCAGGCCAAGGCTCCATGGTGGCAACTGGGGGCTGAGGGCACAGGACTCTCACCACCAGTCACCTGCTAGGGCACAGCTTTCCAGAACTACCCTGATGTCTGCCAGCCACAGATGCCTGCCCGTAGAGTCTGTCCTCACTCTGCTCCCCAACTCACCCTGAGAGCTTGGGATTAAGAAATGGCAGAGTGAGTTTGGAAGAGAGAGTTAGCTATAGCCTTGGGCTTCCATGAACCACAACAGCACTCCTCGCCTCCATATCAGGAGGAGCAGCCAACTGGAGTCATGCCCAAAGTAAGGGCCTGTGCTGGTGAGGGGGTTGGGGGCCAAGGCATGGCGCTATTTCATGTTTGTCCCACTGAGAAAATTTCCCACAAGATCATGACCACAGGCCAGGCACATGCTCTTCAAGCCTCCCAAGACCCTGCTCTTTGGGGTTATGGGTTCTCAGTCATGGCTGGACCATAACAGAAGGCAGCTATGAGCTGAGTGACATGATGTCATCCTCCATCAGAATGGTCTTTCTAGGGGACCTTCCTCTACAGGTGGTGAGCACCCCCTCACCTGTGGCATGCTCAGTAGGCTGTAGCTGGAATCTGGCACTGGTGGGCAAAGTAACCTTGGTGCTGTTGGAGTTGACCCCTGCATAACCCAGCTAATGGCCAGTACCTTATTCCAGGGGAACCACGCAGTGACTTCTGATATCCTCTTTAATGGGCATTTATTTGGGCATCTCTAACTCTGCCAGCTGCTCTTCTATCACAGAGTATGTGACAGTGAATAGGACATGTTCCATTTTACTGGAAGAGTCATAGACAAACCCAGAACTCTGATCTTGGGCTTTAGGGACACACAATGGGACATGTACGAGGCAGGAGGTGTGTGGGTGGCCGCCTGGGAATCTGGAGGGAGACTTGTGTCCTGCATCAGTCAGCATCCTGGCAGGATACAGAGGGCACTTTCAAACAGAGTAATCAAAGAGAGGTGATTTTGAAGGAGAGGGTACTTTCCACAGTGTGAGCAAGACGAGGGCAACCCAGCAGGTCACAGTGAGCACCAGTGGTTGTCTGGATGGAAGCGTGCCTGACCTACAAGCGTCCTGCCAGCGGGAGCCGGGAGAGCGCCTTCCACGTCCTCCTCCTCCTGCCAGTGCTTCCCGCTGGGTGAACCAAACTGGGAAAGGAGCATGTCCATGCAGCTTAGAGAGGGCAGCCTCCCAAAGCAGAGGGTGGGGACGGATCAGCAGGTGGGAAATGTCCAAACACCGGGAGGGCCATCCAAGCTGAGGGCAAGGCGTAAACAAGACTGAGACACGAATAAGAGGTGAGGACAGGGCGAGGGCGGATTTGGACAATGGACAGACCTTAAGTGCAGCTGGGGCCCAGGCCACAGCAGATGAGGCCTTAATTTCTCTCACAGAAAACTCTGATGTCAAGCTCAGTCCTTTCTCTTTCCCTCCCTCTCTCCAGCTCTCCCTCCCTTTCTTCCTTCTTCCCATCCTTAGCTTTCTCCTACCCTTCCTCTTGGCTTCCCTCCATCCCTCCCTTCCTTCCTGTTTTTCTTCTCTTCTCTCAATAAATATTTGCTGGCTGCCCCTGTGCGCTGGCCCAGTCCCCTTCGAAGCTCAGCATCTAGTGGGTAAGAACAGGCAAATACACCACACACACCATTGCCATCACTGGGGTGAGCCAGGAGAAGCAGTCTGTGTGTGCAGATGGCTAGTTAGAAAAAGACAGTCCAGATGAAGCACGGCCGTTCTCTCCAGTGGTGGAAATGGTCCAGGTAGGCAGAGCTTCATGGCTGCTGTTTGAGATAACTACATACAGAGCTGTCAAAAAGCACATCACACGTCTTTTTATAAATAAAATGAAAACCTGGTTAATAATAGAAATGTCCCATGTCAGGAAGTCCAGGATCAGTTGACACCCCAGGCTGTCCACAGACTGCCACAAAGGATGTTACAGCAAACCCACTGGGTTCCTGTGTGGCCCGTCCAAGCCGCAAGTTGTGGTGCTGTTAGGTGAACTTCACCTTTGTCCACGAGTGTAGATTCACATG